GTGTGTGTGTGTATGTGTGTGAGTGCGCGTGCGTGCGTGCGTGCATGTATATATATAGTCTCTCGAACAAACCACAGTACGTGCATACATCCGCCTTGTTAGCCTGTCATCGGTCACGGTGCCGTTGTTTGATCGGCAATTTGGGTGCGCGCACTGTGTACCTTCACCCTTCATTTTATTAGCATGCTATAAAATCAAATTTTATGGCGTCTCAAACCAATCCGACGGATGAACGTTCTATTGAGATATACCACCGTTTGAACGCGAGAGAATTAGCGTTCATGTTTGCATTCAATATGTGTTTCGCATTCACATATACTCATATGTTCAGAGTCTATAAGGACAAATTATACACTTATTTGTCATTATACAATCCCTGATATGTTGAATAGGCATAAAGCCGATATCAAGAGCTAATAATACACAATTAGGTAATGTATTATAGTATAATACACTACAGTGAAATTAGTTAAACAGTTAAATTAGTATAATACATTATAGTATAATGTATTATAGTATTAATGTATTATTGCCGGTATGCACCTATATGTTTATATATATGCTAAACACATGGAAAAACATAAACCGTATGCTAAACACATGGCTGTAGGTTATGACGAGTATATACGGACTCGTCACCACACACGTCTCGATACTTCACGTGGGGAGGTAACGGAGGGTGGGGGGTGTCCATGCTCATTCCCCCACGTACATAATACACCACCTCTTAATTCCTGGGTAATTGCCATCGTCATCTCGGCTTTGCCACATGCCCCCCCCCCACCCCACCTTGGTTGTCTTTTCTTCCCCGATCACGTACAATTAATCTGATTGCTGCATATTTATTCGGTTGCGGTTCGGATCGGTAACTGACTTCCAGGTAATTAACAATAGTTCAATCCCGCGCGTGCTAAAAATATACCGTTCTTCCCCCCTGCTCACGTGGATTCTATCAAGAACGTATTAGAAGGTATTTATTCCTTCTTTATACGCTCTTGATTCTACTCAACAGTCCCCGACAAAAAAAAACGTGGAATAGGGCAACCAGCGACGAATGCAGGGATGAATTAGATTGCATCTAGGAAACGTTGCGTGCATTGCAATTCAAATGCTCGGATCGCGCACATACAGCGTGTATCACTACACGACTCACACCGAACAACCATTTAGTAGTCGACGAATATAGCGAGGAACTGAAAGTAGAAGTTAAAAAAATCAATAATATAAATGTATCTCAATTAAAGTATGATAATCCGATATTCATAAATAAGAAATATAAAATAATAAATAAGTGATAATCAATAAATAATAATTCGAACCACGACGCGGGAGTCTCAGAGGGGCTATTTTGAGCGAGACAGGCTGGGAGCAAAGCTCAAACATGTAGAGTAGGCAAAGGAGCGTAGAGGGGTAGAGAGGGAGATGGATGCAGGGAGGGGAGTAAAATGCACGTGATTAGAAAGAGGAGAGGATAGAAGGGGAAGCGAAACAAGGCGTAAGCGGTGAGATTAAAGGGAAGAAAGGAAAGGAGACGCGCTTCATCCCATTCTATCTCAGTTTTCTTTTCTCGGTTCTTCCACATTCCCGCCTCTACCGCTACACATCTACCTTTTCCTTCATCGAAACCCATGAGGTCGCCTTCTTGTTTGCCGACACCGCGTCCCACAGCTACTAGAAGCCTCGTAAAATATCAATATTACGCTACAACAGCTGATAAGTAACATTCTTCTAAGCGGTGAACGCGGTTTTATTCTAACACAACAATGAAAGCCACAGTACAGTTAACAATGTCAACCATACGCAAGTTGAAACGCCAATGGTGGGCCCGGTTACATTATGCGGTCGCCCTAATTGCTGGTGTTATTACGTCGGTGTATTCAGGGCAATCGTTCCTACTCATTTCCCACGTTCACTTTCGGCTTAAATGTCCCGGTGTGGTTGCACCTTTCTTACTCTCCCGAGATGCCATCCTTTTACTGTCCTTCGTCTTGTCTAAACAAGTCTCCTCGCCCCTAATGACGTTGCTAATGTGTTTCGCAACGCCCCGCGTGATTACCAACCGTTGCCTTTCCCTATTCTGTCCGACCCTGCCATTTTCTATTGCTGATTCCCTATGTCTTATTGCTATTGACGAAACGCAGTATTACTCAAACGTACTTTGCGCGCTGCTATATTCTATATTGCCCCCTTATGCATATCCTTCTTCCTCGACCGACCTTTGTTCGCAGACACGCTTCCCAACGTCTTGACTTAATCTCACTATCTTCACTGGTTCAATCTCTACTCCTTCTGGTTTCTACAGCTCTGCTCACCCACTCCCCCCAGCCCCGGCCCCTCCCTCCCCAAGTTGCCATCCGATTTTCTTATTGTATATTATAATAATATATATGTGTGTGGTGTGTGTTTGTGTGGTGGCCTGCTGTGTCGTGTGTCGCGTGCGTGCGTGTGCGGTGCGGTGCGTGTGCGTGTGTGGTGTGTGGTGTGTGTGTGTGTGTGTGTGTGTGTACGGTTAGCGTCGGTGACAACTGTAAATAACCATAATAAAGATGCTATTATCTCATTTCTGATGCAGCACATCTGAGTATCGCATATAGTCTTTACAACAGCCATGCAAACCATTTATAAGCCGGCCCCGCCATA